GACGGGCTGTTCAGGAGGCTCCCAAGTTCCCCGAAACCTTACGCGCCCGCGCTCGAGCACAGTCTGGCCTACAGCAATACAACTCACAACATTGCTAGCTGCACCCGGCGTGCTCACATCCCTCTCACTCTGCTCACTACTCATGACTTGCGATGCCTGGAGCTGCGGAGGAGCCGCTCCGGACTGCCCTGCACCTTCCTCTCCTGCGTCGTCCTGGGGGGCGGTCCTATTTTGGCCTGGCTGCCCATCTTGACGAAGAGCGCCGTGATGACGCCATTGATCGGCACCATGAAGATGCCGCCCCCCAGCGTCGTCCACGCGTTGACGAAGTAGGTGTGGCGCACCATGCGGTTCTTGATGGCCACCTCCTTCTCCGCCCATACCTCCTTGACCTTCCAATATTTGAGATACTCTGCTGCCGTCACCATCGGCAGCGTCCTGATCGCATTCACGAACTCGGTGAGGGCCTTCAGCTCCTTCTGAACGTCTTGCTGCTGCTGAAGCCAGGCGTTGCCTACCAGCGCCTCGAGCATCGCCATGCACAAGACGACGCCTGGATGACCCTGACCGTGATCCGCTGGCTTGGCCTTGACTGCGTCCATGCACTGCTCGATCGTCGTGATCGCCACCGCGTTCAGCTCGTTCTCCTGAGGAAGAAGCTGCGTCGATAAGAGACAGCCCTCCAGCGCTCTGTTGCGCTGAGCCGTGTTGAGCTGGAGTTTGATCAGGCCCGTCGCCGTCTCTCCATCGGACTCGTCGGTGTCCGCGGCCATCATCGCAGCACCTGCGTCGCCTCCCTGTCGCCCCTTCTTCTGGGGCTGGGGCGGGGGGCGCTCGCCGTTGGAGCCACCACCGAAGGAGATCTTGGGAGAGTCCGTCGCCAGCCGCTTCTTGGCCTCCGCTAGCTTGCCCTGGTCGATTGCCAGCGCCCACAACGACATCAGCAGTGAAGACGAACTGAGCTGCACTCGGCAGTTCAATGTGTGTTCTGATATGCCTCTGGAGTTGCTCGAGAGAAATGTGTTCCAGACCGCAGGCCGGGCAGGCTAGCGATAAGGGCTGGACTACCTCATGCTGCACAGGGCTGCGATCACAATGGCACGCATGATTGAGGAATAGCCGCCGAACATGCTGCTGGGATATAGCGCGCGTGGCATGCACACTCATGCACAAAGGGCATTGGTTAGTTATTGTAAGTAGCTGGCTTAATGCACGATGACCATGGCTGCCTTCTCGGGTGAAGCGCATGTGCGCGTGCCACGCAGTTTGCGAGTCAAACGTGAGCCCACATACTGCCCCACTACTAGTAGTTTCATTACATACCCAGACAGGTGCAGGTGGCGGTTCAGGTAGCTGCTCATCTTGTACATCCCTAGGTTCGTGTAGTGCTCGGCCTCTAGCATCAATAACCCCCTCCCAAAAACGCTGACGTAGTTTAGCGACATTGAGTTTCAGGAACTTCGCGCTGAACTGCGGGGTGAACACCTTGAAAACCTTGCCCTCCATCTCATCTAAAAGCTCTTTGCCTTTTTCAAGGTGAACAATCGAACTAATGTCATTCGCCGCCTGCAGAGCCTAGGGGTCCCCTTGGAACTTGCCATCGGAGTCGCGATGCAGCTGCCAATCAGTTACTGTCGGGGTCTGCTCATCTGGAAGTTGCCCAAACATTGCCGCCACAAGTTGCTGATTTTCTTGCCGATGTTGCGTGATTTGCTGCAGCCAAGTTAACCGTCTTATTCGTAATTCCAGTTGAGATGGAATCAAGCCCAGCCTCCCCCACACCTGTCGTGTTTGCAACGCCGTGTATTTAATGCCCCCATCAGGCCGAGCTTGTTTCAGCGTAGCGTCCCCCTTAAGAAGCTTCCTCCCCCACATCAGCAACAACCCATCAATCATGTCATAGTCACTCGCCAAGGGAATGAAAGCTTCCATGCCACTCAAAGCCGCGCCCTGGACCCTCGCCTGGAACACAATCAGTAAGATATGCCGAGGAATTCGAGGACGATGCCAAAAGTTGCCCATGGAGTACCAGGCCCTATACATATGCTTCTTGATTGCAAGCCTCTGTTGTGATGTAGTTGAATTATGATGAAAGTGAATGCCAAGATATGGTGCATGCTGACAAACCTGGCCGGCTACATCACGCGTATATTGTGCAGATGTGAAGCGTCTCGACCGCGTGTGGGCTCCAACTCCAACAAATCGAGGAACGACATTTTGCTTGCTGGTATTCTGTGCACCCCCTACTGTATACAAGCACTCATCTAAGTCCTGGCTCGCGCCATTCACAGCCTTGACCACTCCATCCGCTGTTCGAGACACGCACTTGTGAGCTATATCATCCATGAATACCGTCGTGCTGATGTCAACCTGTGCTTCTGGGTCTTCTCCGAGGAGGTCTGAACACATGAGGTGCTGACCGTAAATTTTGGCATGCTGGAGGTCAATCCACGGGGCGAGTACACATCTATCGAACGTGCGCGTGTATTTAGTGGGTGCTGCTTGATGGCCTTGCAGAACTCCTTCTCCCACCCGAAAATGTCCCTCCCCACCCACGCACTCCAATGATATGATACTATTGTGATTGCATGCGTGCCCAAGAAAAATACCCCTTGGATCTAGATGTAGATAGTCTGTCATCACAGGCGGTAGCCGCTATACTGCCAAACGCGTTGGCCTGGTCATAGAATATGGTGCAATGTGACTTCCTCAGCTGTGTCAACCGCCAACTGGATATAAGTTGCATGCGGATTGCCGACTCTCTCCTACGATGCCGAAGGCCTCCATGCAGATACGGGGGGTACAGTTTATCCGAATAACAGATCTCACCGCGACGACCAACATGCTTGGAAAACGCCTTACTGAACGGGCAGGTGCGATGTACGAGTCGCAATGTCTTCATGCCCGTTTTGTCCGTCGGCTTGGGGAGACAGCAACCTGACGACCTCAACCAATCCAGGGGTACTTTACAGCTGCCCCTGACGTCCCACAAGATCCCCCTCACACGTCTGTCAAACCAACTCATGGAAGGGATATCCGCACTGAAAGCCTGCTGCTGATCACGGTACTTGCGATCTCGACGGGTGGGGTGGAGCAGCGTCCGAAAGATCTCGAGGGGGAGGCTCCAGCTTGGCACCGTTTTGCGATACTTCATACTAAGCAGAGCGGCGCGGACTCCAGAGAGATCACACAGAGCCTCGTCCTTAAAGCCAGGCTCATACATGTCGCAACCCAGGCCCTCCTCATGTCGATCAGGTGGTAAGTTGGCCACTTCGACCATCTCACACGATTGGCCACCCTCTCGTCCCGGCTGTGCAAGATGCTCGCGCCATATCTCACGTGTGGGCCTATACGACAAATGTGCGTTGTAGAACCTTTTCCCAGGACCCACCGGTGTGCATGCTATGCGCCGTGTGAGCCTATGTGCATAACTCCACTGCCGCTGCTGTAGGGCTTCTCGAAGCTGCTCAGCTAGATCCTCCATCCTCAGCTCTTGTTTCATCTTCCTCTGGTTCCTGACCTGCCGAGTGATCCTAAAAAGCTGTTGCTGCGTGCTGGTGAGCTCCTGCTGCTGCTCCTCAGTGAGTGTGCCGATGTATTGCCGAAGACGTGCGCGCTCACGCAGAAGATCTTGCTGTGCTTGCCGTGCCTGGGCATATGCGCTACCATGTTCGTGAACGTGCTGAGCAAAGTACCCAAGAGCTAATGGTCGAATCGCAGATATGAGTGCCTCCCAAGCTTGATCAGGCGTAGCCTTACCCTCCAGTGCTTTCCATTGGGGATAAGTATTGTAGCACATGTCCTCCACCTCTTTCAAGAACCGCCCCCGCCAGAGCCCCTTCACCACTCCTTCCACCATCCTGTCCATGTCCCACCTCTCCTCCTTCTTCCTCCTCTGCGAATGCGGGAATGAAAGGATGTAGTCTACCTGTACAAGAAGCGGGTAGTGGTCCCATCGCTGACGAATCGGAACAAGTCGAAGTGCTCGACCCTGTTTTTCTAGAATACGGCATTTGCGAACATGAGACAACCAAGAATAGGGAGCGCCAAAATAATCTATTCTGCTTTGAGACTGCCGTCCATAGAAGGTCGCCTGTCCACCTATATACGTATTGACGAGACAGAGGCCGAAGTCTTCCATGTATCCACGGAGTTTGTGCATGCAGTAGTGTTCCTGTGCAGGGTTAAGCGGGCCGATCGGGTTCATAGCGTCAACTACATGATCGGGAGGAGGGATGCCTGAATGATCATTTACATCTCCACCGAATATAATTGAGCACCTACCGGGTTGCTCGCAGCTGGTCTTGCGCATCCATTCGATCATGGCGTCCACCGTCTTATTATATACTAGATTGCGTCGCGCAGTCGAAGGTCGCGGTGGAAAGTAGACTACGAAGCACAATAAATGGAAGCGTCCCGAGCGCAACAAGACCGCCCCCAGTCTGCCTTGTAAGGCCGCCGGTGGCGAATACACTGCTAGAATATGGGAAACACGAAGAGATCTCTTGCGCAACCTAATCTGCACTCCTGCATGCGCTGTCGTGAACGGGGACCGGCCGTAACCCCAATTGAGGATGTGGTGCGTGCGGTCCAGGATACTCGTGCAAGTGTCGTCCGTGTATCTGCGTCTCAGCCTGGTGCCCACGATGAATTGTATGTCCTTCGTGTCGTACGCTGCACTGACATCATCCGCCCTACCGTGTTGCACGAGCGAGCACACATTGTGTACAACAAAGCTCCATGCCATGTGGGATAGTGGGGGGATGGCAGAGAGAACAGGGGACGGGAAGAGTGCGCAGGCGGCGAGCCCGCAAGATGGGGTCATTCGGTACGGAGAATGGACGGTACCTCAGCCAGGGTACCTGAGGAGGAGGAGGAGGAGGAGGAGGAGGAGGAGGAGGAGGAGGAGTAGTCAACACGCCCCTCGTGGACGCCCTCGCCTCGCCCCGCGGCAGGCGGTAGGCCTCCACCCCCCTTGGAGGGGAGGGCGGGGCGGGCTCCTGGAGGCCGCGCAGGGTGACGGGGACGTCTGCGGATAGGCGGATCGCCTCCCGGCGCGCGTGCACGCGGGGACAGAGGGCAGAAAACCACCCTCATTCCTCGCCTCCTCCTCCTCCTCCTCCTGCTCCTCCTCCTCCTTTTCCTCCTCCTCCCCTTCCCCCTCCCCTTTCCCCCCCCCTGTTTCTGCACCGCGGCAGGTGAGGCCGTTGATTCAACGCACCCGTGGGAAAATATCGACCAGGACGGGCCCGTTCAGGAAACGCTCAGGGCCGGGAATCAAGCGCCAGTGATGGGGGTCGGGGTTGTTTTCCTCCCCGATGGAGGCCCCAGAAGGCCCCCGGACGGCGCCAAAAGGGGGCCCACGGGGGGAACCCAAACCCAAATTTCCAGCCTTCGGCCTCAGGGCGCCCCCAGGTTGCCTCAAGAAGCCTCCATCACGCCCCAAGACGCCCCCAGGGAGCCCGAACAGAGCCCCCAAACGCCCCCAAGAACATCCCAGGAATCGGACATGCCTCGTGGAATGCAGTCCTGGACGCTCAGTAGCTTATAGAGGGGTCGGCGGACGTGGCGTAAGCCTGTGGAATCAAACGCCAGTGATGGGGGTCGGGGTCATTTTCTTCTCCTCCCTTGCAGCGGGGGCCGCGCGGGGCGGGGCGGGCGGGGCAGGCTGTCCGGGGCCAACGCCAGGGGCGGGAGGGCTCGGGGTGTCTGAGGTTTTCGGGTCTCTCTTCGTCGGTCCTCGGCGGTCTTCCAGCCTCGGGGGGTGGGGTGTTCAAGCGTTCGGAGCTCGAGGTGTTCGGGCGTCGTTTGGGAGACGCAGCAGCACACTAGTACTGCATGTCCTCCTTGGAGGCGAGCGTCCGACCCGAACATGTAGTGCACTCATCCTGCAGCATATCGCTTCCCGAGCGGTGTGGCCAGAAAGCGCCCGCCACGACGGGCATGCTATCAAATCTCGCGGTGCGCGCGTCGCCCCTTCGGGGGGGCCACGTACATATATCGGGGATGGACAGAACCCCTTTTAGTAAAACGTGGTTTAGGGACAACGACCTGAGGCCCAAACCTGGCGTGCGCAAACCTGGAAAATAACGGCAGCGGCGCCCTCTCGAGAACCGAAAACGGACAATTCACTAATCGACGTGTCACTGTTGGGGGTTCTGTCCACCCCCGAATATAATATCTGGGGGTGACGCCGATGTCCCGGGCGTTGTCGTCGGTTCTCGGCGGCGTCCCAGCCTCGGGATGCCCTCCAGCCGCAGCGCCTCGCCGACAGCGCTCCGCGGGTGCCCGTTCCGTCCCGAGCGGCCACCGGAGACGCGAGCCATGACCCAAAGACAGGGAAGGGCTGGCCATCGCTCGGACGTCCATTCCCGGCGTTGTTTTCGGCTTCGTGCGTGGTTTTTTCGCCAACTGATCAAGGATGCTCCTCGATGGTCCTCGCCGAAAGAATGCACACGTCCGAGCGATGCCAGGAGGAAGCAATCCTGAGATCCGGGCGCTGCACTTGTCTTTCGCACCGGGCGTTTGCGCCCAGTTCGAGCCCTGCGGGCCATCTCAGACATCAGTCCAGCTCGACCAACTCGAAGAGAGAGAGAGAGAGAGAGAGAAAGAAAAAGAGAGAGAGAGAGAGAAAGAGAAAGAGAAAACGGGCCCGGGGGCTCCGGTCGTGATGCTACGCGGCGGAGGGAGCGGAGAGAAGCGAAGAGAGCGCCACAGTCGTGCGCGCTCCCCTGGGGAGCCGACGCCCGCCAGGGGGGCATGGTGTGGAGGCAGTGGCCGGGCGGAGGATGGGGAGCGGGCGGGGGGGAGGCAGGAGGGCGGAGGAGGGGGAAGCCATGGGGAGGAGAGGATCTCCCTCACCCCTCGCACAGGGAGGAAGAGGAGGATTAGAAGGAGGGAGGGGAAGAGGAGCAGAAAACGCGACGAAATAGATTGGCACCACCCCTGAGGTCTGCTGCCCATGCTCACCGACAGCCCATCATCTTGTCATCGTGTAAGAAGTGGAGGAGGAGTAGGAGGAGGAGGAGGAGGAGGAGGAGGAGGAGGATGAGGAGGAGGAAGGGAATGAAGTGGAGGAAGGGTATGAAGTGGAGGAGGGGTAAAGTGGAGGAGGGAGGGAACCGGGATGAGGATGACGAGATGGAGGAGATGTGCGCGAGCTGGGTCGTGTGAGGAGGGCCATGTGGACTGCTTGCGCTCTGCCACCCTACGCTGCGCCGCATCTGATCCGCGCTGCAGGAAAATCTGGCAAGGCCAACGCCAAGACTCGAGCGACTCGAGCATCGATGCGAAAGAAAAACGGAAACATAGAGATTTGTCCATAGCCGTCACCTGTGGGATCGAGCTTCGAGGGGCTCGGCAGGCGGTGGATATGGATAATTATATATTTTTATTTATATATATATAAATATGTATGGCTCCCAGTGCCCGAAGAGATCCATGTTCAGCGCCCGCCGAGGCCCCAGAAACTCGGTCTCCTGCACCCCCCTGGAGAAGTAATGTAACCTTGGCAAGTCGTATCGGAAAATCGATCTGAGACTTCCCTGGGGGCGGCTGCTCATCCCGGCTCCGCTTCTCACGGCCCCTGGGCCCGAGACGAGGCCCCTGAAGACTACCAAGGGTAAAAGACCGACGGCAACAAGAACGAGCACACCAATCATCAAACCACTACTTCCCGGAGCAGTGCAGGCAGTGGCTATGAACGAATGCTCGCCTAAAACAACAGTTGGGGAGACGTAAGACTCGGGTTGGGGGGACTCGGGTTGGGCCCCACGGGGCCATCATACACATGACGAGACCCAACCTGAAATCTGACGCGAGCTCCCGCTGCAAACTTCCCACGAAACCTGGACCGCCAAAATCCGGGGCGCGCTCGCCAAAACACCTCGGCAAACCCGAGTTCTGGCCCACCCGAGTCTTACGCTTCCCCGAAACAGAGATGGCTCCAGCAGACACTCCTCCTCCTCCTCCTCCTCCTCCTCCTCCTCCTGCTCCTCCTCCTCCTCCTCCCCCTCCTCCTTCTCCTCCTCCTCCTCCTCCTCCTCCTCCTCCTCCTCCTCCTCCTCCTCCTCCTCCTCCTCCTCCTCCCCCTCCTTCCTCCTTCTTCCTCCTCCTTCCTCCTCCTCCTCCTCCTCCTCCTCCGCGCCGCGATGTGCCAGGGCACGGACGAGGCCCCGCGCGCCACACCGCGAAGCGGTGCGCGGGGGCAGCGAGCGGGGCGGGGGAGGCTCGAGGGCTCGGAGCTCGAGATGTTCGAGCGCCTGCGCTGGTCCTGGGCGGCTTTCCAGCCGCGGGGGGTGCCTTCCGGCGGCTGCGCTCTGGTCGGGCGTGTCCCCCTGCAGGCGGATTTGTTCTGGACGAGAGATAGGAAGCACCAACAAAGGTACCCCAGGGTGCTCACACATGATCAAAAATCGCCCCCGTGCGATATTTCGACTAACCTCATGCCCGTGAGAATAAACACTAGGGGATAATAAAGTTCGGGGTTCAGGGTTCAGGGAGAGATAATAAAAGTAGCCCAGCAGACCTCAGCATAATCTCGAAGTAAGAGATGATAAAGAGGAGACCAAGCCGAGCACGTTTTGTGAAAATCTCGAGTTTCAAATATATTAGATTTTATTTACAAGCGCTTTATGAAAATTGTTTTTTGTAAGTGCTCGTGTAGGGTAGCTCATGTGCCTCAAATTCCATGGATAATCAACCCCAGAGATAGAAAAGTTCAGGCGAGCGTGGGGACAGAGAGAAATATAAAAGAAGAATAATACAGTAGAAGAATAATAAGAAAGAAGAAGAAGAGGAGATTAAGAAGAGGACGAAGAAAGGAAAAATCCAAAGTTCCAAATCTATCAATTTTAATTTACAAACGCTTTATGAAAATTGATTTGTTTAAGTGCTCGTGTAGGGTAGCTCATGTGCTTCATTTTCCATGGATAATCAACCCCAGGGATAAACCAAATCAGGCGAGCGTGAGGACAGATATAAATATAAAAGAAGAAGAGGAAAGTATAATAATAATAAGAAGAGAAGAAGAAGAGAAGAAGAAGAAGAGAAGAATAACGGAAAAATGGAAAGTTCCAAATCTATCAATTTTAATTTACAAGCGCTTTATGAACATTGATGTTTTTAAGTGCTCATGTAGGGTAGCTCATGTGCTCCCCTTTCCATGGATAATCAACCCCAGAGATAAAAAAGTTCAGGCGCGCGCGGGGATACATACATACATTGGTTTCGCTTGACACATCCTGAAAAAGTGTGATCGCTTCGCTTGATGTTGCTAATTATACCAACATCGCTTGATGTTGCTATCTCAACATAGCGTTTCGAGGTGATAATGAAGTTCGGCCTCAGCGCTCGACGCCCAATTTGAATTTTGTATAGGGCGACGATAATCAACTCTAAACACTGAAGGGGGGGGTCCCTTTATTATCATCGGCATGCGGTTATTTTTGAATGTTCCCCCTGCAGAGGGACAGGCCCGACGTAAGGCTACGCCTCGCCGAGAGCGCTCCAGGGGTGCCCGGGCCGTCCCGAGCGGCCGCCGGAACCCGAGAGCCGGCCGGTGACCTGCTCGGGGAGGGGACATCGAAGTGGAATCGGCGACACATCGCCGATAGATCGGCCCCCGATACGCTGGAGGTTTTAGATCAGGATGCCTTCGATAAGGAACCCAGGGTCTTGCGACGGAGGGGCGGCCGAACGTCGGCCACCCACCTCGCTTTGAAGCAAAAAGGAATGCGCCAGGGTCTGGGCCCCGTTCCTTCTGCAATGCCGCTGCCGTAACGGATCCGCACGCTCCTGGGCAGGGTCTCGGGGATCTTCTGACCCGGGTCAATCCAGGCCCGGGCCAGTCAGGCCTTGCAGGATCCTGCAAGGTCCTGCACCCAAGCCCGGGTCAATGCGAAGGATCCTGCAGGATCCTGCAGCATCCTGCGCCCAGACCCGGGTCAATGCGACCCTGGAGCTGCAGGATCCTGCGAGATTCGGCGCTCTGGCGGACTCCCGTTTGCATTGGCCCCCGTCTCAAGGCTCCCGAGCCTGGGCAGGGCGGGCCATCTGGCCTCTGCCGGTGATCAGTGGGCGATTGGGGATTGATGCGTCCCCTCCTGAGGCCAGGAGGGGCCCAGGGACACACAGGTAAATAGACACAAATAACCAGCTCCCCCATATCTTCCCACATTGTCTGGGTCTTTGTCTTCCCCCCGACTTCCCATAGTTCCCCATCTTTTCTGGGGGAAGCGACGATGAATTGTGTCTGCGTGTTTTTGTTCCCTCCGGAATCCCTCCCTGACGTTGTCCCCGAGGGTCGGACATCTCGAGGAGCAGAGCCCGGGGGCGTCCAAGAGGGGGGTCAGCAACTCACGGCCCCTGGCATCTGCGCGGACGAGGGGGGGAGGCCAGGGCCGTGCCGAACAACAGAAACGATGGGGCCATAGAATGTTGGGCGACATCATGGCCACGTCCATGATACTTACCCACCCACCCCTTGTCGTCCCCCCCGCTCCTCTTGGCCGCCCCCGAAACGCGGGGGACGGAGCTCCCCTATGCATTTGCTTGGGACCCTGGCCCCAGGTCAACCCAGCACCGACTTCCAGTTGAACCAAAGGGCCGGTGTCGTGGCCAACTCCCAGAGGCTGAGCGTCGGCTTCCTCGCGAACGGGAGCAGCTCCGCGAAGGCGTCCCTGGGAAGCTGCTCGCCCTTCTGAAGGGCCCAACTCGCCACCGCGCTGGCGCGATATTGGTGCGTGTTAGATTACTTGTTTGCTGTCTGGTACGCAGGGCATCTGTAACTTTCAAGGGCCGTCCCCTCCCCCCCTTCCCGACTAGCAAGCAGCCGAGCTCCGAAAACCGCCGCCCCCCTCAGCTTTCCTCCCAGGAGCCCTCGGCCTCTAGACGATTCCAGGACAGCCAGTGACCGCCCCAACACGACTGCACGACGCCCGAGACCTATCTAATGACAGCCCACCGAGCCCCCAAATGCTCCAAGATCTCCCATGGAAGGCTTCCAGCAAGGCCCTCAGATGCAAGCATGATTCAAAAGCGTATGGAAGCAGCATGAGTTCTTCAACTGACGATTTTCGGCTCACGCAAGACCGCATCGAGAGACTTTCAGCTCAGAGCTCCAAGATTCCCCCAAACGGGCCACTACAGTCCCACGAGAGCCACGAGCCCAGGATGGCTCGGGAACCCCTTTACGGCGGCCCAAGGCCAACCCGGCAGGGCTCCAAGATAGCCCCAAGCTCGTTCAACCGAGCCTCTTAGTTCGAGAGAGTTCGGAGAACCATCACGCCCAAGACGGTTGCCAAACGCCCGAGAGGCGAGGGCGGACGGGGCACCGAGCTGGAACGGGTCTTACACTCAGCCACCTTCCAGATGCGCTGCTGCTGATGCCTCGGCGATGCGGCACGATCCTCCGACCCTGAGGAGGCAACTACTGGGAGGTTTCCGTCGGAAAGATATCAAAAAGGATTGAGTCCCACTGGGGGGCTGTTACGCCGGAGTGGGCCTCGTATTCAGCCGGATTAAGCGGGATGAAACCCAATTTCGGACCAGGGCAAAGTCAGAATTTGACCTCCCAGGAAATGCATCCGAGCCCACCTGCTCTGAGCCTATCTGGGAGGCCTCGGGATTCGCCGCAGGCAGCCGGGTACTCTGCGAGGAAGTGAATCTGCCGGATGCCGGTCACGAAGTTCCAGCCGGGCACGAAGAGCCCCCACGTGTCGAGCGGGGCGGGGCGGCCTGCCTCGACGAAGAGCTTGTTGACCTTGTCGTAGAGGAACCACTGGTTGAGGTAGATCCACGCAAACGCGGAGTAGAAGGCGATGGCGTAAGGGTTATCGCCCGGGCCGCCCTCCAGGGCGCCGTACGCGAACTCGCCGAAGACGCCCGCGAACAGGCCGGCCGCGAAGGGGTAGATCACCAGAGAGCCGCCGATGCCCAGACCGCGGTACTCGCGCAGGTCGTCCTCCCGGGCTTCGAGAGAAACTGGGGGGCATGCTCCCAGGAGTTTGGACGCGGGCTGCAGCGGCAGGGAGGCGACTGACCAGGCAGGAGGAGCGCGGTCAGGAGGATGGCAAGAGTCGGCAGTTGAGCAGAGACCGACCGTCCCGCCATTCCTATCGGCCTGCCACGACATGTTCTTAGAAACCCAAAACACTTGGAACAAGACAGTTCAGAACATGTTAGAGATGTTCTAAGAACATTGCGTGGAGACCACAAAAGGTTCTTAGAACATTATTTGGTAGGCCTCTGGACGAGCTAGGACGCTTCGCCACTGCTTGAGGCAAGGAGGGACGCCAGGGGGATCACTGAGGCGGGGCGGAGCCGGAGGTCAGAGGAGGGGGGGAGGAGGACGAGGCAGTAGGGCGAGGCAGCCTGCAGGAGGAGGAGAAGGAGGACGAGGAGGAGGAGCAGGAGGAGGAGGAGGGGCCAGTAACTGAGCAGGAGGAGTTGGACGCAAGTCCGGGGTAATCCACATAACCATACAGTGAAAACTCCAGGACACTTCAATAGAGGAATCGAAAAACTGCATCAACAAATTAGCCTGACGAAGGACCCAACCATATGTAATTGCGAGTACCGCATTGTGGGTACCGGTTTCGGTGGAGCTCCCTATGGGGCCACGAAGCGCTGTCCTGGGTGGCGTTGACGCATTCGGCCTGTTCCACTGGAGCCTTCGGTGGAGCTCCCTATGGGGCCACGAAGCGCATGCGGCTTGTGCCACTGGAGCCTTCGGTGGAGCTCCCTATAGGGCCACGAAGCGCTGGCCTCTGTATGTGGCGTTGACGCATGCGGACCCTGCCACTGGAGCCTTCGGTGGAACTCCCCATGGGGCCACGAAACGCTGTTCTGGGTGGCGTTGACGCATGCGGACCCTGCCACTGGAGCCTTCGGTGGAGCTCCCTGTGGGGCCACGAAAAGCGGTCTTGTGTGGCGTTGACGCATGCGGACCCTGCCACTGGAGCCTTCGGTGGAACTCCCCATGGGGCCACGAAACGCTGTTCTGGGTGGCGTTGACGCATGCGGACCCTGCCACTGGAGCCTTCGGTGGAGCTCCATATGGGGCCACGAAGCGCTGTTCTGCGTGGCGTTGACGCATGCGGGCCCTGCCACTGGAGCCTTCGGTTGAGCTCCCTATGGGGCCACGAAGCGCTGTTCTGCGTGGCGTTGGCGCATGCGGACCCCGCCACTGCAGCCTTCGGTGGAGCTCCCTAAGAGACCACGAAGCGCTGTCCTGGGTGGCGTTGACGCATGCGGGCCCTGCCTCTGGAGCCTTCGGTTGAGCTCCCTATGGGGCCACGAAACGCTGCCCTGCGTGGCGTTGACGCATACGTACCCCGCCACTGAAGCCTTCGGTGGAGCTCCCTGAGAGGCCTCGAAGCGCTGTCCTGGGTGGCGTTGACGCATGCGGACCCTGCCACTGGAACCTTCGGTGGAGCTCCCTGGGGGGCCACGAAAAGCTGCCCTGCGTGGCGTTGACGCATGCGGACCCTGCCACTGGAGCATTCGGTGGAGCTCCCTATGGGGCCACGAAGCGCTGTCCTTGCGGCGTTGACGCATGCGGGCCCTGCCACTGGAGCCTTCGGTGGAGCTCCCTGTGGGGCCACGAAGCGCTGTACTGGGTGGGTGAAACGCAGGGAGGTGACGAGGCGGATGGGAGGAGGGAGGAGGGGGAGGAGGAGGGGGATGATGAGGAGAGGAGATGAGATGAGAGGAGAAGAGAGGAGAGGAGGGACGCGGGGCGCTGTCTCTTCAAAACGAGAACCCAACACCACAAGATGGTTGGGTAGCAATGCGAAGTTCCGCGCGGATGTCGCTAAATCGCCGCATGACTCCCGCAACAGTGTTTCTCCGTCGAGCTCCAGAACACCTCCAAGCAGACCCGAGGGACGGCGATGAACTCCGACAGTGGGGGCTTCCAGGCAGTCCCACGGGATTGGGCCTCCGCACCCCCCCTCGTCGGTTTGCGGAGCGGACTCCGCTCCTCCACGACGAGCTTGTAGTAGAGGTACCAGACCACCCCAGGCCAAAAGGTGAGGAGGCAGAACCACCGGGCCCACATGGGGAAGCCGGAGGGCGCCGTCTCCTCGGCGGCCTCGAGGAACACGGCGAAGGAAGGACGGGCGTTCGTCAGGGGGGTGGGGGCAGACCAACGGAGGGGGGAGGCACGTGCACCGTGCCGACCACTTCTGCTGAGACGGGGACTCGTCCACAGCCGCCGCCTGGGCGATCGATTTCCGGGAGCCTCGGTAGGCGGAACCTGTTGATGTGCTCGGCCTCGCGAGGGCCCGAAACTATCCACATCCGCCGCCTGCCGAGATCCCTGAAGATCGGTATCCCAGGCGGACAAATTTTGGGATTTCAGCGAAACACCTGAGGCTTGAGCCCGCGGTAACCATTCGGGGATTGTTCAAGGCCTCTCTGGGGCCAGTCTCCTGCGATTCCTCGATCCCATTCGATTATTCCGAGGCCTCCCCAAAACAGGGCCCGAGTAGATGGGATCGTAGGATCGCGCCGCATCGCCGATGCATCGCCGACGTCGGCTGTGCATCGGCGACGCCACCGCAAGGAAGATCGGGCTCTCCATCGAGCCGCACCGCCGATGCGTCGAAGAATATGGGGCGATGTTCTGACCCCATCTGCTCGGGCCACATTTGTCGGTGCAGGGCGAGTTCAAACAACGGCACCTCAAAATCGGTGTCTGGACCCCTCCCCGGTTCCAAACGCGCAAATTTTCCGAGATGCGTCCAGTCGTATTGACGAGGGCCCCACCCCGAAGGCCAACCACCGCTGTCTTGACTCGTGAGCATCGTTTAACCATGCCCACCAGCGTGCCCTTGGCCCCACCTGCCGATTAACCCCCCTAGATGGGGATGTAGACTGTTCCCTTCGGGTTTCGACGGGCATATCTCCAACCTGGGTGGTGGGAGGTTGGGGATCGGGATGGGGGTCTGGATGCGGATCGGCTAAACGATACTGAACTCGCCCTCCTCTGACATATGAAGGCTCTGAATGTGGTGCTGCCCACCCCGCTGCCAAACGCCCGAGAGGGGAACGCCCACATGAGGTCCCGGGGCTCCGCCACCTCTGGAGCAACAATAAGCTGCAAAAACATAATATGTCGGAGCTCCGCGCGGACTTCTTGGATCTGCCATGAACCCCTCATGCGAACAACAAAAGCTGCTACTGGGGAAAACACAGGGTACCAATACCGCTACCCCCCAGACCTCTCCCAGGGTGTGTTCTGACCAGAATGTCGAGGCGAATCCAGCGGTGGGGACGAGAGCCTCCCAGGATGCCCCAAAAGGGGAAAACGAGGAAAGGGTAACGGTATAGGTACATTTCTCTCCTCTGAGCTACCACCACCACCACCACCAAAACTCCGCAGAATTCTGTTCCCAAAGGCCCCCCCCAACTGGTGGCGCTCTGTTCCGGGCACTCTCTTGGTGGGCTTGTTTTCCACCATCACCACCATAAGTAGGAGGGGGAGGGGCTCCTCCCCCGACTCCTCCTCCTCCTCCTCCTCCTCCTCCTCATCCTCCTCCTCCTCCTCCTCCTTCTTACTCCCCCCTCCAACTTGTGGTGGTGGTGGTGGTGGTGGTGGTGGAAATCAGGCCCATCATCTCTGGGGGTGCCACCAACTGGGGGGTGCCACCAGCTCGGGGGGCACCACCAGCCCGGAGAAGCGGGGTGCCACCAGCTCGGGGGGGAGCCGACGGCCCCCCTGGCTGGTGGTGGTGGTTCGTTTCTTCTGGTGACCCCCCCTCCCTGCCTTTGCGCGCGGAGCGCGCCAGAGGCGCATGTTTGTTGTTGTGTTTGTTTCCTCTCTCTCTCTCTATGTATGTCTCGTTATGTATTCATGTATTTAGTTCGTTGTTCATGTTATGGTGTGTTGGTTGTCTCTCCCTCTATATCTCTCCGTATACGTGTATAGCTGTATATTTCTCTCTCTGTCTCTCTCTCTATATATATATATATAGGCGTGTGCATGTACAGTTCCGCATCCACCGCAAGTGGAACAGACGTCCTTGGACCCCATCGGGCGGCGGACACGGGTACATGCCGACACCAAGGGGGGGGGGGGGGGCGCAGATGTCCGCATCCACCGCCTGCCGAGGCCCCCGAGGATCGACCCGCCCAGCGGTTGCTATCGAGCAATCAGTCGCCCGCCAATGTTAGATCGGGCCTGTCCCCCTGCAGGGGGATTTTGGACGAAAAAGAAAAAACACAAAAAATGCTGAAGCAACGCTCAGAAACAGTCAAAACATCGTCCCCAGACTATTGTTTGACTCTTCTTGAATATTCCTCCTGCAGAGAGACAGGCCCGACTTACTGCTAGTGGGGGGTCAGCCTTCTGGAGGTCAGGGTCAGCGGAAGGCATACGTCCGACAACAACTGTTCATCGAGCCTTGCCTTCCTGGGCAGAGAATTTCCAAAAGAATGGCGCAAGAGGGGAAAGTGAGTGAATACTCATTTTGTGAAACGGATGCGGCCCCGAATAAGGAACATCTAAGAAACTGAGCTTACCTTTGCCTGACCCCGAAAGAGCTGACCCCCATGAGCGAGCGAAGGGCCCCTGGATGCCCCCCGAGACCTGAACCACTTCCCCGTGACGGGATCTCCGCCCTGAATTGCTCTGTGCGGTCCTGGGGGGCCCGCTGAGGGCCCGCGGTGAAAGAAAAGGACAAAAAAAACCGGCCGCTCCAATTTCTTCGGAACTTCGGATCCCTGGCCAGGTCCCCGAAGATCGATCCGCCTGTCGGCGGTTCTGGATCCCATTCGCAGGCCAAAGAATCCAGGAACTCCGCGCGGGCCTCCGAAAATTTCCGTCTATGCCCGCGGCCGTCCCCTCCTCGGATGGACGAGGAAGAGGACGACGACCGACTGACGATCGACGACGACGACCACTGACTGAGGACAGACAGCGACTGACGACGACGACGACGACCGACGACGACGACGACGGGCGACGGACGACGACGACGGGCGACGGACGACGGACGACGAGAACGGGCGGCGGACGACGGACGACGGGCGACGACAACGACGACGACGACGACGACGACGACGACGACGACGACGACGACGACGACGACGACGACGACGACGGACGACGGACGACGGACGACGGACGACGGGCGATGGACGACCGACGACTGGCGACTGACGGCGACGAGCCTCGCCCGAGAGCGCCGCGGCCGCCGGCTCCTCGGCGGGCCCCGCCAGCAGCGAGAAGGGCCAGATGGCGGCGAGGCCCTGGGGCTCCGTCTCCGGCGGCGGCGCCGCCGCCGCCTCGCGCTCGCGCCACTTCCAGACCCCTGTCCTTCCCACGGATCGGCGGCGAGCGAGGGGGGGAAGCGAGAGGGGGCGGGCCTTCTCAGAAGGCTCAGAAGTCCACTGGCCTGCCGAGAAGGCACTCCGGAGCCTTCCCCGAAGACGCGAGTGCCTCCTCAGAAGGCGCGAGGTCTTCTGGGAAGTCCAGCCGCCTGCTGAGAAGGCCCTGCTCCTTCTCATTCCCCCCATCGCTCGCCGCCGAACGAGGCCAGGACGAGGACAATTTCGGGTGTCGGTGGTGGACAATACTCCCTTTAGTAAACCTCCCCTTGGTGAAAACGGTCTGGGACCAAAACCGACGGACCTGGACCCGCAAAAATAACGGCCGCGACGCCCTCTCGCGAACCGAAAACAGCCAATTCCTAAATCGACGTGTCAGGGTAGGAGGTCTGTCCACCTCCGAGGGCGAGGACGGATCAGATCCCGCGGCTCGCGTTCCAAAACGCTGGGGGACGGATTGATCCTCGTACCGGCCCCGCCCGGCTCCTGCCCTGCTTCCCGACCGCGAAGGTGTGCGGATCAAATGGGCCACAAGCGCGGCGACGCCGACAGCGAGTCCTGTTCAAGAATGCACGAGATGTGCTGTTGGACTTTGTACCCACGGTTTCGTACCCATGTCGATCCTCCCGAGCCTCCTGCTCCCCGGACCTCTCCCAGGGTGCTCTCTGACCAAACTCTCGAGGCGAATCCAGCGGTGGCGACGAGGGCCTCCCAGGAGGCACCAAAAAGGGGAAAACGAGGGAACAGCAGAGGTATGGGTACAGTGGAGGCTAGTCCACGAGAGACCTCCCACAAGAAACCCACCACACGAGAGCCCAGGACGCCCATGGACTTTCGGTGCGGGACCGTCTCGCGCGTTCCAGATCGCAAGACCATCGATACCGAAGGGAACCCAGGGCAACCTGGAGGCAAGCGGGGTGTCTCTTGGCATGGGCCCCCAATGTACCTCTTCCGCCTCTGACTGCCCTGCTCCCTCAGGAGGAGGGAGGATGAGGAGGAGGTAGGTAGGTAGGTAGGTAGGTGTCCTCCCGTAGAGGATTGTATTTTGGGCCCTCGGGCTCGGGTCCTTTGGCAGAGAGTTGCAGGGCCGGGACGGCGACTGCTTCGACTCCGCGACGTCCGCCCAGGGAAAGGGCGGGCTCAGTCATGCGTGCAGGGGGGGAGGGGGAGGGCGGGGGGCGGCCCACGGCTGCCCGGCCCGCTCCGGCCCGCCTCCGCTCCCCTGCCTGCACAAAAGAGACCGCGCCTTTGCCCGAAAAGCGAACGCGGTGGGAAAGAGGAGGGGAAGGCCTGGGGAGAGGCTCCTTTCGGGGACCTCTCCAGCAGGGGCCCCCGCCCGGACCCCCGGCCGCCTCATGTCGACGCAATACGAAACTGCGGGACTAGGAGTACGGAGGGAGTGGGAGCCACCCCTGGAGGGAGGGGAGCGGCGCGAGGGGGGAGGAAGAGAGGGGGAGGAGGAACCCAGGGCAACCTGGAGGCAAGCGGGGTGTCTCTTGACATGGGCCCCCAGTGTACCTCTTCCGCCTCTGACTGCCCTGCTCCCTCAGGAGGAAGAGGAGGAGGAGGAGGAGGAGGAAGGAGGAAAAGGAGGAAAAAGAGGAGGAGGAGGGAGGAAAAGGAGGAGGAGGAGGAGGCGAAAGAGGAGGAGGAGGAGGAGGAGGAGGAGGGAGGAAAAGGAGGAGGGAGGAAGAAGGAGGAGGAGAAGGAGGAGGAGGAAGAGGAGGC